TTTACAGTGTTTTACTTCATGATTGTTGACTGACTTGATTACTCTATCCAGTTTAACTTTGTTTTGTTTTGTTTTTTTCTTTTGTATTCTGATAGTTAGCTTTTATTAAATGTTTTCATAGTTTTGATAAAAAACAATTGTGTTTAATAATTTGAACTAATTGGAATTTTAAAAAAGCTTGTGTATAAAAATTTGAACTACATGAAAGTAAAAAAAAAAAAGATTGTGTTTAAAAAAAAAAAAAAAAAAAATTGTGTTTGTAATGGTTTAAAATAAATTGGAATAAAAATAAAAGTAATTTTAAACAGAAATAAAAAGATGACAAATCTCAAAAGTGTGATTTTTATTGCAAAGCCTTTAAAAAAAAATTAAATTAAAGAGGTGAATAAATGTAATAACTGTCATTTTTAACTAATGCGTTGATAAGACAGGATCATGGATGATCGCAAAAGTTACTTGAAGACGTTATATTATGACATTGGGCGTGAAAGCGGTTTGAGTAGTATTGAGAAATTGTATCGCGCTGTCAGGAACGATGGAAAGTACAAAATTACGCGCGAACAAATTAAACACTTTCTCATTGGACAGGATGTATACGCGCTGCATAAGCCGGCTAGAAAGAAATATCCCAGGAATAAAATTATAGCTGTAGCACCTGACGAGATACATCAGTTGGATTTAGTGGATGTTTCCAACCTGTCAAAGTACAACAACGGATATCGATTTTTACTGACGTGGATCGATGTGTTTACCAAATACGCCTGGGTGATTCCTTTGAAAAACAAAACTGGAAAGGTATTGGTGGAAGCTTTCAAAAACAATATCAAGTCTAGCGGTAGACCTCCGACTATGGTTCACACTGATAAAGGCAGCGAATTTACGAATCGTTTGTTTCAAGATTTGCTAAAAACAGAAGGCATCCATTTCTATACGACAAACAGCGAGATGAAAGCCCCCATTGTGGAGAGATTTAATCGCACTCTCAAGTCTAGAATGTGGCGGTATTTTACGTACAAAAATACTTTGAAATACATCGATGTGTTGCAGAAACTGGTGAAGGCGTATAATCATTCCTATCATCGTTCCATTAAAATGAAACCCGTGGAAGTCAACGGTGAGAATGAAAGCAAAGTCTGGAAACATTTATATTCCACGTCTAAAACGCCCGTAAAATTTAAGTTTAAAGTCGGGGATCAGGTTCGAGTCAGTAAACAGCGGTTAACGTTTGAAAAGTCGTACCTCCCCTCGTGGTCCGAGGAAATATTTACCGTAGCCGAACGCAACGGGCGACAGGAAAGACCGGTGTATAAATTAAAAGATTTTGTAGGCTCAGAAATTTCTGGAATTTTTTACGAGCCAGAGTTGCAAAAAATCTATAAATCGCCTGATGCTCTTTACAGGATTGAAAGAGTACTGCGTAAACGACGTAAAAATAAAAAGACCGAATATTTCGTTAAATGGTTAGGGTATCCTTCATCGTTCAACAGTTGGGTGACGGATGTTCAGCAATAAGGACGCGGTCATGGCATCACCTTCGACTCAGTTTTACGTAACGCTGCCTAGTAATTCATCCATGTCATTGTATCCAGACAATACACTGTCTAGTTACACTACACGTCTTGTGAAACAAATTAATCTGGCTGGTAATTGGGAGGCTGCCCTGACTGAAATCATTACCCTTTCACTTGGTACAATATCACAGAAAAGAACAATTCTTTTACGTTTAGCGAGCATGGTCTAGTACAAACCCACGCGAGAATTTCGCACGGATTCTATAAATCCGTACGGGAAATTATAGATGCAATTAATAGGGAGATGACAGAAGCAGCTAGACATAATATTAATATTAACTTAAATAATTACACCGGCAGAGTTAAGATAAAACTCAGACAGGGGGCGTTCATATATTTTGATGATCATCTGTATCGCATGTTGGGATTAAAACACAAAGCGGTTAATGAAAACAAAGAAGGTCACTTACCAGTAGACGTCAATGGTGGTTTTTACGGTATGTACGTGTACTGTGACATCGTCGAGAATCAACTGGTGGGTGATGTGAGCGCGCCGCTACTGAGGATCGTCCCGGTGCAGACGTCTAATCAGGGTGATGTCGTTGCCCATACATTCAGCACACCTCATTACGTGCCTGTAAAACGAAAACACTTTGAGAATATACAAATGAATATATTTACAGACACTGCTGAAAAAATACCATTCCAACGTGGGAAGCTCACGACGACACTTCATTTTAGAAGAAGTCGTCCCTCCTTGTTTTAAGCAATCATGATAGACTACGAGAGATATTACAAAAACCAAGCCGGAGGTGGGGACAATTTTTTTAGGGGTGCCCCCATTCAGAAAGGATACGGACTTGGAAATATTTTAGGCGGTCTTTTTAGATCCGCTTTGCCAATGATCAAACAAGGCGCAAAAATGCTAGGCAAAGAGGCTTTAAAGACAGGAGTTGGAATTGCTGCAGATGCCCTGAATGGACAAAATGTGAAAGCGGCCGCAAAGAAGCAACTGCGACAGGTTGGATTGAACATGACGTCACGAGTTAAAAAGCAGCTTTCGAAGAAATCTCCCAGTCAGAGAAAACATTTAAAAAGGAAAGCAACTGGTACATCACGCAGAAAGGCTCCGAGCAAGCGAGCGAAGAGGACCCTCGACATATTCGATTAATAGCAACGCTATAAACCATGGCATTCGTCAGCAAACACTCGTGCGAATGCACAAAGTCAGAATTAGATCTTTTCTCTCTACCCCCGACTCAGACCTCTATTTTAGGTGGGAAATATGTCCAGTTTAACCCTCTGACAAATATTGTGGACTCGGACTCGATAGAATTCAATGTCACTGGTTCGACCGAGCACTATCTGGATCTTGCACACACTCTAATCAACGTGAAGGCAAAAATTGTAAATGAAAATGGTACTGACCTTGCAGAGGGCGTTCCGGTTGGCCCAGCTAACCTGTTTCTGCAGTCACTGTTCTCGGAAGTGGATGTCTCGCTCAACGACAAGCTGATCTCGTCCTCATCGGACACGTATCCGTATAGAGCCTATCTGGAAACCCTTTTAACATATGGCCCTGCCGCTAAGACGTCTCAGCTGACTGCGGCCTTGTTTTACAAAGATACGGGCGGAAAAATGGAAGCCAACGATCCAACCGCGGAAGAGGATTTCAACGATGGGTTAAACAAAAGATATATGTTGACACGGGAGAGCCGAATTGTAGATCTTTTAGGACCGGTTCACTCCGACATATTCTTTCAAGATAAATTTTTACTGAACGGAGTCAGCCTCAAACTAAAATTTCATCGCAGCAAAAATAGCTTTTGTCTACTGTCTGCTTTACCCGATACACATTACAAAGTAAAAATTTTGGAAGCCTCTCTGTACGTGAGAAAAGTCACCGTCAGTCCCACTGTGGTTCTAGCGCATGCCAAAACCCTTCAGACTGCTACGGCAAAGTATAATCTTCGAAGAGTTGAAGTGAAGACTTTTTCGATTCCGCAAGGAAATCAATCTTTTACGCGCGAAAACTTGTTTTTGGGACAGATCCCTAGGCGCGTGGTGATTGGCATGGTAGACAATACGGCCTTTAACGGTGATTACCGTAAAAATCCCTATAATTTCAAACACTATGGATTAAATTTCATGGGTCTGTATGTGGATAACGAACAGACACCGTGGAGACCGCTTCAACCCAAATTCTCTGGAAAAGATGACGCGTACATGATGGCCTATCAGACGTTGTATTCCGGTATAAATACGCTGTATAAAGATGTTGGAAATGCCATTTCCAGGGAAGATTACGAAAGGGGCTATTCTCTCTTTGCATTTGATCTGTCTCCTGATTTGTCTTGTGGATCTAATCTTAACCTGGTAAAGCGCAGTAACATGCGCCTCGAGCTGAAGTTTGGAACAGCTTTAACGACGACAGTCAACGTTGTCATATACAGCGAGTTTGATAGCGTCCTAGAAGTGGACGAGAGCCGAAATATTCTGATTGATTACTCCAATTAAAAGACGACATGGATAGCGTGCAACTTTTACAAGTACTCAAGGGAGACAGTATTACTCGGCGTTACACGGCTGGCGTATTTCCGGCAGATAGGCTACCACCAGTGACAGAATACCCCCGTGCATTCACCATCAACACTGACAAGAGCAACGAGCAGGGTACCCATTGGTTGGCGGTGTACTTCACTCGGGACAGACGCGCCGAATTCTTTTGCTCCTATGGGCAACATCCCTATGTATACGGGCGTTATTTTCAAACATTTCTAAAAAAGAACAGTTTGCACTTTATTTACAACGCAGTTCGTTTGCAATCCCTAAGCACTACAGTCTGTGGACAACACTGCCTTTTTTACTTACTGCATAGATGCAGAGATATTCCAATGAGCAGCATAATGTCAGTGTTTACGGATGACTACCTTATCAATGATGTGTTAGTGCAAGATTTTATAGAAGAAAAATATGATGTTGATGTACCTGTTTCAGATTTAAATTTCATTTGTCGTCAAAGTTGTATTAAGAAAAATAATAAGCTATCGTGACTCAACACTTTTTGTGTTTGTAAATATATATTATCATCTCTCTGTTATTCTTTAAAAAAAAACTGTGTGAAAAAAAAAAAGTTTTTATAATAGCTTAAAATAAATTGTGTTAAAAAAAAAAAAAAATTGTAAAAAAGAAAGTTAAAAAAAAAAATTGTTTAGATTTTTTTTTTGTGTTGAGAAAAAAAATTTGTGTGTAAAAAAAAAAAAAAATTGTGTTTAGAAAAAAAAAAAAAAAAAACATTTGTCAAAAAAAAAATTGTGTTTAGAAAAAAACTTTGTGTGTGTGTTTAAAAAAAAATTGCGTTAAAAAAAAAATGTGTTAAAAAAAAAAAGTGTTAACAAAAAAAATTTGTATGTAAAAATATTTAGTCATTGTTAGTAGGTACAAAAAAAAAAACAGTAAAGAAAAAAAAAAAGTCAAAGAGTTTTTTTTTGTTTCCTCTTAACATTTGTTCCATTATTTATTGCTTATGAATAAAACGTTTATTAATTACAAAGAATTTCTTTTTTTTTCAAGTCTACATTTTGTTTTTTGTACATTTGTTTTTCTTAACATCACACAAAAATACCCTTCAACTACTGATAACATACATGAAATGCAAGCAATACAAAGTTTACGTATTAAACCTTTTCAATCAAAACAGACACGTCACTATATTTACAAAGTTTCCCAATTCAGTTTTTTCTTGGCTCTTAATGGAGTTGACACAACTCTAAGTCGCCTTCGAGATGGAATCGGTGTGCGGGATGTAGGAAGATCGGGTAGCAACCTTTTCTTATCGGAACCAAATTCTTTATATTTTCTAACGATGCTACGTCGAGCTTCGTTACCGATAATACTCTCGGGCGCGTTAGATTTGGCCAATCCACGCATAAAATATTGAAATCCACGAGGAACGAAACCCTTTTTACTTCTTAGAGTGTCATTGACAAGATCAATAATATTTGAACCCTTTACGACATCCCCTTCATATACAAGTTCCCCATTTTTGTTCCAAGTCATGACGTCATTATGCTTAAGCTGATTCATAAGCAGTTTTGCTTTGCGCTGTAAAGTTTTAGGCACACTCTCGAGAATTTGTGGTGTCAGGTCATCTTGCTTGTCTGAAGTTACGGTTCCTTCGTCATTTTCTATGCTGCCCTGTGGAACGTCGTCTCCCGATGATTTTGGCGTACCGGATCCCTGCGCTGGCGTAGACATCGTAAAAGACATGGGTTCAGTTTTTCGGGCGTGATCATATTGCAGATATTTTTGTAAAGTCTGCTGATACAATGATACTTTAGTGTCATCGGGAATGTCGGTTCTTTCCAAGATGACTTTCATGTCTTCTTCCAGATTCTGCAGTTTACTCTGCGTAGCGTTACGTGAAAGGAGTACATTCTGAATGGCTTTAGTAACACGGTCTGCTGGAGCGCTAATCATGATTTTGCGGGCATAGCGCATTATTACTTGAACAATAGACCACCCAGTGTACCCAGAATGGGGGCTAATAGGGGTCCCAGAAATCCTCCTTTCTGTACCAATAGCTCTTTACGTTTGACGTGAGAAGATTTCTTGTCAGCGAGAGCTCGCAGATGTGCCTTATGTCGCGCCAATTTCTTCTTCTGGCTTGGTGATAGGGGTACACGACCTTTTAAAACGTTCAGTGCACATTCACACAAACAGGTAACGAGCTCTTTGTCAGCATTCTTTAAAATTGCCTTTCTTCTTTTGCTCGAAGATTTGCTTAAAATGTGAAGCGCGTGAATATTGTCCTTCAACCGTCGCGTCATGATTGCGAATGACCAACTTTGCACAAGATCAGTCTATTTAGGGACGTAGGCGTAGCTCGTTTCACCTGGAAAAATATGGGAACGGACACGGAGTTCTTCTAAACAATTAGGTTGCAAGTCAATAAAAAGATAAGAGTGCGGAAGACTGGTTGCATCGGCGTAAGCTTCGACCATGAATTTAGTCTGCCCGGGGTACATCTGCTTGGCCAGGTGAACAATCTGAGATCTGTCTCTGGGGTTTTTAAACAGGACGATGTAATGACAATTCAGACTGATGGTTCTGCTCTCTTTAGACTGATGAAACAGGTTTTGTACGATGTAAATCACGGACAAGTTTCGATGGTGCGATCCTTGGGTAAACAGTTTAGTAACTTGAGGATCGTTACCACATTCCTGCATTAAGTCGTCCAGAATCACTAGATTTCGTTGTTTAGGGTCGATGAGCTCTGACAAATCCTCCGGCACCCCCTCCACAAACTGAACAAAAGGTAGATCGCGAGACAGTTCCTCGTAAGCCGGCTGATACTGACCATAACACCACAAAATTCTCTCAAATGGTTCCACAAAAACATGTTGGTGATTTCTGATTAGTTTACTGACCCAGTGAGTCTTTCCGCAACACGTTGGGCCTGCCACGCAAAATGTTGCTGGATGTTGCAGTTTCGTACCCATGGGAAAAAGTGACCTTAGCGGTTAATCGCGATGTATTATATAACTTAAATATACTGACGTCATAACACGGAGCTTACATCGATAGAAGTTTACGGATGGTAAAAGCTAATATTTTCATTCTTTAACAAGCCAAAAGTAGATACTTCAGAAATCAATTGATTAAACAATTCGTTTTCTAAAATAGTAGACAATTCGATTCCAAAAACAGAACACAGAACGACAAGCAATACAATTATTATTGCAATCGTTATTATTCGAAACATTGGCCGAGAGCACGTAAGGTTGGATGAATGTGTGTTTGCCATTGTGACTTTAGTAGAAATGAGAACAGTACGATCCGACCTTTCTTTTTATGACCTGTGGTATCCGTACGGTACGGTGTTGAAATCATCTACAATCACTCTCTTATTGTAAACGACCTTGTAGTCTTTTGACATCGATTTTGTCTTGATCTTTTTTGTTTTTGGCTCTCTGATGATTTGATGTGGATTATGTATGGTTATGGGTTGTACGTTTACATCTTTGACCATATGCGCTACAGAGTCAAAGTTGATCTGTTGCGCATTCCTAAAGTTGAGCGTGAACCCGCGCACCTTACAACACGTTTTACCCGTGTCTAATTTGTAGGCATAATTTTTAGGACCCCCCGAAACAAAACTCTGAATGTATTTACCGTCTTTTTGACTTAATTCATTCGTTAATGAACCCAGGTAATCACCGAGGGGTGGACTGTACATGCCCGGTTTGTCGATATAAATAACACTATCCGTGTCGTAATACAGTACTCTATCTTGGAGTTTTTCAAGTACGCTGTACAGCTTGAGACGGGCATGGGCTGTTGTAAACGCAGCAATGACCACGTTCGTTCTAGGGTTTGGCTCTACAAATTCGTCATCGTTAGAAAACTTGACTTCTGCGATCTCGTCATTAAAAAATTGCACGCTGTTGACTATTTTGTCATCTGCATACAAAAGCTCATACAACCTCGATGGTTCGGTAACGACTTCAGTTTTTGGCATGTTTATTCTTTGTCCAAATTTTCCCCAAAAACTATTCAACATTAGCTTCGCTAGTGCCCTGAGACCTGGGTTCTTAACAAGTTTTTCTCGATCTAGCAATATTCCCTCTTTTCTTTCATATTCATTGATGTACTTTTGAATGTCTTCCTCGCTTTGACACCATGAAGGAATCCCAGAGCTTTGTTGTTTAATCTTTAGGAACGTATCGATGTATCCGCTGAACAATCCACCGGATTTAGTGGTCGGATTATACTGTTCCCTTTTGTCAAAGTGCCATACACTATCAATGTGTTGAATTACGTAACCTAACTCTACGGCTTTTTGTAATTCAAACGAGACATAAGTACCACTTAGTGCTCTCTCATCGTCACAATGGTGACAGGGTGTTCTTTGTTCCGACTCAGCGCACGCTTTACAAAGTACAAACATCAGCTTTCCAACTGCTCTGTATGGTAAAACAGGGTGATACAAGTTTCGCGGAGGGAGAACTTTACATTTGATTAACCCGTAGTACTCAGATATATCCTTAAAGTTATCGGTAATGACCTTTGGATGCCCTATCGCATATGAACAATATTTATTTGTGTACGGATAAAACGAGCAATAATCTACATATTTAATTGTTTCATCCCCGCTAACTTCATAAAACAATCGAGTCGCATTAGTTCGACCTCCATAGAAAGCATCTCTGGGATTAAGCTGTTTTACGGTAGGATCAGAAATTCCCTCTGAAAGATTAACACGTACATCCTTTGGAAAATCATTGTACAGACCATCCCACTCACATTCCCACATATCTATGTAATTAAATCCCGTCTGATTCTGAATAAAAGCCTTCTTTTCTAGGGTTCGGTTGTATAATTCATGCATTGGAATTTGATACACAGGGTGAGTAGTATCCCCAATATAACACTTAGGACAGCCGTGCCAAAAGCAACCATTGAATTCATACACAGTACGCGCGTCCTCACTATACCCATCCATTTTGTATTTTCCGATTTTCATTTCTCCCCCATTTTGAGCATGTTGGATGTGCACGTCTTGTAAGCGACTCATCCACCGCAACCATATGAGTGCTTTTTGGGATTGTCTGTCTGAAACACTATACCCGCTGGGTGGTAGGACTGCGATTGTATCTTTAGTTAAGAAGTTTCTCCGGTACACAAGATTACAAGCCGAAGCGATCGTCACGCACTGTTTAAAAGGATAAACACCTTGATCCTTTGGTCCTGTCGAAGTAACCTGCATGAACAGTTCGCGGAATTGGATACAACATCGCTTTAAAATATCAACGTCGCTCATACAATAGGATAATAATTCTTCCTGCAAGTCAAAGGGTTGGTTAAGCTCCTTTTGCACTTGGTACCATGCATAGAATTCTTTCCTACGCTCGTCAGACATTGAGTCGGGGTCATAATAAGTTTCGCTCGGTATGGGACCTACGTAGTTTTGATTCCACTGAGTATTAAAAAAGTGCGGAAAGAACCCCTTTTTCAACTCGCTTATCCCGAACTTACCAGGTAACTTACTCAATGCCATAGGGAGGAAATTCATAGAATCTATAATCCTACGCTGATACTGCGGAATGTCTATACTCATAGCCTTAGCCCCATTGTACACGACAGAAGGTATGCACGCATTATCATACAAAAACTCTAGAAGAAAGTACGAATCGTACCCCTTTGCGTTGTGAGCTATGGCTATTGAATTATCGGTTTCGGGGGATTGAAATAACCATTCACAAAACTCTTTCTGAGTGTTATCTCCCTTAAATACCTTACGTGACGGACAAATACTACAGTGAAAATCATCAGGTTGTCCCACACATAATTCACAAGTCGTTTCCGCTACACATAAATTCGGTACGTGAGTGCCGCCATCTTGGGTACATTCAAAGTCAAAGAATACGTATTTCAACACTTTGTCCTTTTTTGCCTTTTCTTGCCGCAGGGTTCCATCGATTCATTATCATTTTCGTCAACATCTAAGGGATCCAAGACAAAGAAATCATCCATAAATTCGTTTGTCTGAAATGTCTGCGAGCGTCCATTTTTGGCACCGTTTACAACTTTTATAAAACACTGATGATTAAATGGAACCATTTCTTTACAGGTTGCACAGTATTTCTTTAAACATTGGTGTTTACCACGCTTGGCCGTGATGGCGGCACTCACGTACGCGTCACACGATTTACATCTGTAAAATGACTGACATACAGTTGTTTTACCTATGAGTCTTGTCTTGTGGTTATTGAAACAGACTTGATTCTTAAAATTACGGTTACAATCGTTACAGTGGACCCATGTGTTTATTTCACCGGTTTTACAACCCAAGGAATAGCACAACTTACAGGAAATGTTACATACATGACTGGATACTGTACCGTTATACCCTTTAAGGCATTGATCGCAGAAATTGCTTCGGTTTAAGAACCCTGACATAGACCGTATGACATCGTAATGCCCCCTTGCAAGATGAAGATATATCGTGCGCGGTTTTTCTGGACCCTTAAAAACGGCAGCGTAACAATGTTCCCTCGATAAAACAATGAGCCTATAATTTTCTAATACGTCTTGAAACCGCTGAAGTTCTTCAATGCCCCCTAATCTCCCTTCTTCGATTCCTGCCTTGTTGTGCATGTCTGTAACCAGAGGATCTACATACTGAGCTCTATTTTTGAGTATATATGTTAACTCTAATCCCTCTTTTTCTTGAAGAGCCTGGCCGAACACAATAGCACGGGCCAGACACGTATTGGTGCCATCGTCCCTTATTTTCACAATACTTCTTTTACTAGCCAAAAGTTCCTCGAGTTTCATAAGTCTAACCTGTCTGTTACTTTTTCCCCCTTTGTTAAATCTCATATGTACAAAATGTATAGATATGGTATCATCGAATCGAATGAATTGGTAACTGTTCAGAACCTGTTGTATCCTATCAAACAATCGCCCTGCCGTCAGCTGATCCATTCGCATGAACGGGAGGGAAATTGGAAAATTTAGAACCGGTGAGTTAAATACCATGCGCACCCTGTCATCTCCCTCAACACCATCCCCTAGACGCTGAATAATACTATTAAATATTCCGTCCAAAAGAGGCAGAGCCTCTTCGAGATTTGCGTCTTCTAAATGACGGAACTGTACTACATAATCATAAGTATGGGCTTGAAATTTTTTTCTTTTTTTTCTTTCACACTCACAATTTTGTAGAATTCTTCGGGTTGTCTGCTTCTGCTGATCTTGCGCTGTGGTTCCTCGATGTGTTCAATATCCCCGTCCAGATCTGCATCGGTAAAAGCACCGCCTACCATACTGTCTGTTTGCGAAGCT